GAACAAGGTTTTTTTGGGTATTAGACCAATAAATCATAAGTATTTTGATACTTGTCTATCACATCTTTATATTTTGATATTAGTCCCCCAGATGGCATAAATAGTCGATATTAGTCCATATGTTACTATCTTCGTTTAAAACACTCAACAATGATTAGGTTTAACCTTAACCATATCAGGAGAATTACTAAAATACTCACTCCCATTAAATTCCCCAATTAAAGGATCTCTCTTCCATTTCCCGCTCCTGTCTACATAAAAGTTATTTTAATTACCCTAATTGTGATCTTGCCCCCATGATGCCCTGAAATCGACTCAAAAATCGAGTCCAATCCTTCATTGAAGGCTGAAGATGAAGAATCTCCACAATATTTGGGTGAAGTAGCATTTAAGCAACTGTGATAAAGTAAATGAGTTTACAGCTTGTAGGCATATAAAATTGCTTATAGGTCCCTTTGCTCAGCTCGCACAAACCGACAAACCAACGAGGCGACGAGATTGACTAATTGCACGCAAGCAACGGAATACGCGTGCGGGATCAAGCCAAGTGTTCGAAGAGTCAACGAGTCATCCAACCAAAGGCATACTCGGACGAATGACGATCGAATCAAGATCGGTTTCGGACTCCAACTCAGAAGCAAATTTACTGCCAAATCAGGAATCAGACTTACTGCCAAATCAGATCAACAAATCAGACAAAACCGGAAAACGGACAACACAAAACGACAGAACAACACACCCGAAAAGAGGCTCGGAAACCAAGTCACCGAGGCGGCTCACCGAGCCACCAAGGTGGCTCGGTGGCCGAGCCACCAAGTGGTGGCTCGGCCGAGCCACCTAGGTGGCTCGGTGGCCGAGCCACCTTGGGGTGGCTCGGCCACCTCCGAGCCACCAAATGGTGGCTCGGAGGCCGAGCCACCTCCTTGGTGGCTCGGCGGCCACCAAGGTGGCTCGGCCACCACCGAGCCACCAGGTGGTGGCTCGGTGGCCGAGCCACCTATTGGTGGCTCGGTGGCCGCCGAGCCACCTAGGTGGCCGGTGCGCGAGCAACCAAGGGGCTCGGCCCGAGGCCGGCCGCCCCCCCCTCGAGGGGCCGACAGTTGTTCGTTTCGCGGGCACCTTTCAGAGAGCCTATAAATAGGCTAGAGATGTTCATTTCGAGGTGGGAATTCAAGAGCCGAAACTCTACCGCGATTGAACTGAACTCAGAGCTTTGACGACTTGAAGACTTGCACGTACATAGCTGATCCTCGGCGAGTCCCTACGTCAGAAAAGGCAGGATTTCGAGAGGAGGCAAAGAACAGATCTGAGATCTACCGATATCACACTCCGGATCTAAGCTTGGGTCTTAGATCCGAGCTTTGGACGATTGGTTTTGCCTTGTGAATCAATACCTTCCCGCGGTATTATTCCCTTGCGTGGAATAATACCCGTAAATTCCTGAGATCCGACCGGTACATCTAAGATCGCGCGGTGTCCACGGGCAAATAACCCCGGCGGCGCAGGCAAAGAAGCCCACCAAAGCGATGCCGACCGCAAACAGGAGCTGCCGATTTGGTTCACAGAGGAAGTTGTATTTTGTGATTTTCTATTTTGATTAGTTGTAACCGGATCTAAAAAAGACCGGATCTTTTGTAATCCAAGATGACAATTATTTCAATGAAGAAAACAGTTTTCCCCGCGAACAATCTGGCGACCACAGTGGGAGCCACCGATCTCGCTGTCGAGATCGGAGCGTCGCAGCCGCGGATCGAGATCCCGGTCGTGGAGGAGGTCGAGTATGAGTTCGACCAAGCCAAGTTCGAGGAGTACGTGTCCTCGTCCGGCTCTATCTCCCCCCGCAAGTCCAAGAAGTTCTCCTCCGGGAGAAAAGCTCGTTGGTTTGAAGCTGCTCGGGAAGCCCACGAAGCTCTCAACCCAACTGACGCCGAAGTTGCGTCAAATGAAGTTCCACCGACCTCTAATCAGGTCAACCCAACTCCCGCCAACGCCTCTACTGTTCGACGGATTCGGCTACAACGCGGAGTTGAAGAACAGAAGAGGCAAACAGCCTCAACCACCAATGAACGGCGACTCTTCCAAGCCGCCAAAGAACGAATGGGTCCGCGTCAAACAGAACCGTTCGACGCTCGAGGAGCGTATTCGCAAGAAGCGCCGCGCGATGTCAGCGCAGGCACGGGCTCAAGCTCAGGAAGCCCGTAGAAGACTGCAAAAGGAGGGGGCGAAGAAGCCACCACCAACGCGCCAAGTCTGGAAGCCTAAGTCTGAAGTGGCGACTCAGACCAAAAAGCAACCAGTACAACCTTCTAAGCAAGGTCAAACTCCGGCGAATCAACCAAAGTCGCCGTCAATCCCAATAACTTCTCCGGGAGATCATGCAGAGTCATCCCGCAAGAAGAAATCAATTTTGGAGCGCCTCGGTCCAGTTCCCGACGTGAGAGGCAAAGCTCCAATTCACGAGCGTTTGGGCCCGATGAAGAAGCCCAGAACAACTCAACATACTGGGGGTCACCATCACCTCCAGCATGACAAAGAGCTCAAGGCAGCTGCGCGCACCCATTTGCGCATTAAAGTCCAAGAGCACGCCGGAAATTCACGCCCAAAAAGGCATGTTTTGAGGCGGGTAACTTTTGAGAGCCCAAAGAAGGCAACTCACCCTCAGATGGAAACATTATCATCTGATAGTGATAGTGTTATACCTGAAAAGTCGTGCCCGCACACGATAGGTTACTCTGACTGTCAAGATGACGAGTTGTACTATCGTGCTGGGGGTACGAATAGAACCAGGAAGAGGAGTCCCCGAGAACAGGAAATTCAATGTCCCTGTTCCAAACTCATTCGGGCGGTATTGTCTGAATGCAATTGCATTAAGGCGGTCCCCGAAAGAGTTTCAGTTTTTGAAAGACTCAGTACGGAGACGCCAAAACCAAGGCCTAGGCGCTTCCAACGAAGAAGAAGAGTGATTGAAGAAGGAGAATTTCCGAGGGTCACCACCAACATGACAAGCAAGGGGACATCGGCACGAGATGATTTCGAGTCGATTCTGAGAGCCTCCCGACCTAGAACCCGTCTGCAGTCCGGAACCATCGAACGAGCAACCTATGGTAGGGTTCGGACAAGACGCCCTTCAGAAGATGAAGAATCTGATGCTGGTTCCGCGGTGGCATCAGATAATACAGTATCCAGCGAGGGACAACCCCGCGAGGCCCTGATGATAAGTGCGGAACAGATGGCCAAGATGCTTGAAGACGCTTTGGCTAAGCAGAAAGAAAGTTTCAAATTTGAGATGGAGATGGCCATGCAGCAGATGAGAGAAATGCATGACCAACAGATCCAAGCATTGGCGAACCAACAAGGCGAGCAGAATCATCGTAACCCGATTAATGTGGAAGATGAGGATACAAATGCTCGTAACACCAATGATCCTCCCGTCAACGCAGGGGGTGGTAATGAGAATGCTGGCGAAGAAACCGGCGAAAACCTGAAGATCAAGAACCTCGAGAGCAAAATCAACAC